CCGAAACACTCAAATCTGTCTGTGAAATCACTCAAAAATCCACCTGTAGAAGGGTGATATTATCCTTCTTTATGTGTGAATGTAATGGAGTGTGTGTCATAGTAGAGAACGCTTTACGCTAGTTTTCACAAATGACCATATAGTTTGAGACGAGCTTGGTTCGTAACATTACTATATACAAAGGTTTATAACTTTCTTTGGAAAAGTAGTGAATATGGTAACCTTTAGGATTTTCATAAAATTTTGACAGACGTTTAAAAACTCGTCAAAAACGATGAAAATCGCAAACTTGAAATAGTTGTAGACTCGCTTTTTCAGGTAAGTTTTTGCAAAGCTTCCCATATTATAATTGTCGTATTACTTCGGAAAATTCAGAACCTATCTAAAATTTAAAACAAACTTGTAGGGGGGACCGGGGCAAGATGAAGTTCGGGGCAGCACGGAAAGTAAGCTTGTGTGCGTGAATAGTAATCGTGTTCGGAGCGGAGACAGCGCCATTTGCACGAACCTCACTTTCCGCTAGTGTTTCCAAGCAGAGCGAACAGGTTAGAACTAGTTTTTGCGTTGCAGAGGGAAAAAAGTGATATTGCAAGTGTTTTTAAGCGATATTTGATTCGAAAACTGATGTACAGACATGTAAGTGCCTGCATTAATGTATTATTTCAATCCCGAGCTTATTATAGTAGTCCAAAACATCGAATTCAAACCAGATTTTTTCGCCGGTAAAGTTTGAGGTTAGAATTGCGTCATCTTTTTTACCTACGTGTGGATCGGGGCAAGATGATCGGAGCATAATGAAATACTCTCCCGTTTTGCCCCGCCTTTGTGATTAAAATAACATTTTCTATGTACTGATAATCAAGTGACTGAAAAAGGTAAAAAACAAATGAAGAAACCTGGAAAAGAGACTGCAAAGGAGATTAAGTAGACAACTGACAAGGAAAACCTGCAGAAAAAGCGTCAAACCAAAAGGTACAAAAAAGAAACTGAATCGGAAGATAGTTCATCCCAAGAAGAGGATGATGACTGTGCTTGCATCTATTGTGGGTACTTATACTCAGATTCAACCGAAGGTTGGGTCATCTGCGGCGTGTGCCACGGTTGGGCGCATAAATGGAAATATTTGAAAAAACTGATGAATATGTGAAGAAAAAGGTTTTTTCGAAACCAACGTGCCAATATGGAAAAAAATTGCGATAGATTGGTGAATAAATGGCTACAAAAAATAGGAAATTTATCTGAAATCATCTGTTAAATTTGCCTAATCACTTGGCAACACTGTACGAGTGGTAAAATTTGACAACTTTGATATTTGTTCATGTACCTGTGGGTTTATAATAAACATATTTGTGTTTTTAAGAATATTATTTTCAAAAAACAGCAGTAAATAGGTGAATAAAGATGCAGTTAGTGTATTGGCTACAAAAAAGAGAGTTTATAGTGTTGTACAGATTGCTAGATAGACATTTCCCAAAAACTCGTTTTTTTCAACTAAAAAAGAGCATATATCCCAAAGTTATAATTTCCGCACGAAAATTTCGCTTGCTACAGTGTTTTTTTCATGTTTTGCGCATCTGCGCAAGTTTTATGAATATGAAGCTTACCATATTCGCTACCTTTACTCTTCCTTTTTCATACTTTCAATCAACTATTAGGGTATTTCCATTTATTAAAAAGATAGAAGATAGAATCCACATATGTGGTAGGATCCATGAGGTTTTCGACTGATTTTCTCTATCGCCCCTCTTTACCAAAAACGGGTTGAGCATATATTTAGCTACCATTTTACATGTAGTCACCATGTATTTGTATTCGGAAGTTTTCAGTTTCATTTTGACGAACTTGTCCATCATCTCCGTAGAGAGACCGACAACCCTGTTTTTTAAGTTATTATTTCGTTCATAATCCATGTATCTCAGTTATGAACAGACGCTGTTCAGACATTTTTGCATGTCTGATACAAAAGAAACATCAACTATTCGTTTATTTCGATAAGTAAAATAGGGTGGAATGAATCTTGAGGTGATGGAATCAGGGCCGTCTCCATGGGTGGGAATGGGGGGAGCCCCCCCTGCTTTTTCGACTTGGGAAACGTTGGGAATTTTTGGGCCGTGAAGATAGAAAAAATAATAGTAAAAAAATGGATGAAAATTAAAAAAATGAAAATGAGAGAAAAGAAAGGGAGAGGGAAAGGGAAAGAACCGGGAGAAGGTTTGAAAACTTCAAAAAAGTTAAATTTCTCCTAAGTAAAAGAACAGTCCAGAACAGTCCATAAATTTTACAAATTTCCCAACTTCTCGCAGTTTTTTCGACTTGAAAAAGTTGTGAAATTTCGGGCCGTGAAAATAGAAACAATAATAGTAGAAAACAATAAGCCCAATATTATTCAAGTGTTGTTTCCTTCCATTTGTATTAAATACATGGTGGATATGAAATAATAATGATTATTATTTTTTTATAATTACCAAAAATTATTTTTGTTTTTGCATACCCTAACGGGCATAGGCATTCAGCCAATCTTTGGATAGCTAAGTAAGAAAATCGATATATTATAGTAGTAACTAATCCCTCGGCTTTCATTTTTTCGAAAGTTGATAAATTTTGCTGGTGGGGTTGGGAAAATTTGAATTCCTTTTCCCCACTGGTATTTCTTTTCGCTACGGCCCTGAATAGAATGATGCATTTTAGTGAACCTTCAACGGTTTTCAGATCGAGTATTTTTCAGAATGTCCTGTAGGAAATTTATCGTACCTATATCGTCGAGGGTAAAACGAGCATATTGTTACGTTTTTAACCCGTAGGTTTACCAATAATTGACTACACTGTGAATCAAATTCGACTTCATTTCACTTAAAATACAACAAACACTTCAACTAAAAATTTCAACTATTATTTGAATGTCTATCGCCTTACTAGATCACTTCGCGTACTGCACTGTTACGTCCACTTCACTGTATACTTGACTGACGAATACGCTTGCAGCCAGCGTTTAAATATCGCAATGGAACAGCATGGAATTTTGCTGAAGTTTTATCGACATCGGTAGCATGTTTCTTGCTGTTTCTTGAGCGGCAGGTAACACTGGATATTCCCACGCTCTCAGCTACGCCACGTTTGGTTTATGGTTACCAGTGGCCGCCGGCATTATTTCCTTTCGGGAATAATTTACAACAATATTTTATGTTCTCTTCTTCTTGAGCTTTATAATATTCTACGGTGTTCCCAGTTCTACTACCATGAATGCTGTTTCAAAATAGAATATATCCGAATGGTATTCAGATATATTCGATTTTGTGATTCTTCGAATCATTTCCCGATGGTATTTCTCTTCCGAACGAAAGCTTTCGGGCTTGAAATAATTTCAAAAAAAGATATTGTTGATATCTATTCAACAAAAAGGCAAACAATTAATATCAAAAACCTTCTACCAACCCTCACTCATCCTCGGAACAGATTTTACAGTCGTAGGACTGGAAACACCGTGGAATATTACAAAGCTAAAGAAGAAGAGAAAATAAAATATTTAGTCGTATGCTCGCTTCAAGGGTATTTAGGTAACTATGAGAAATTTGTCGTAAAACATTCTGAAGTTTATGTGGGAGAAAATTGAAAAATATTCGACCTGAAAATAGTTGAACGTATTTTCAAAAACTACACCTCATATTTGTGGAGATGAATCGTGGAGTGTAGTTTTTGAAATAACTATGGATCTTCATCAAGTAATGACCGAATCAATCAGAAAAACGTTGAAGGTGTAATGGTTAAACACTGTTTTACCTGTGGAAATGAACACTTCTTGAACTACTCTTTTTCCAATCATAATATTGAAGTATGGGTCATCCAAATCGATGACTCATACTTGAATCTTAGAAAAACACACCTCGAACCTTCGCCCACGACTTGAATCAATTTGTCAGTATATCGCCTGTTTTTGGCCATTTGTTCATTTTTCAGCCATTCAACCATACCTAGCTTTTTCCCCGCCAGCCTAACTTGTCCAGATGATTCTTTTCTGTATAAATTATAGTAGCCTCAGGGTATACTTAGGGGTGGTGCTTCATACATTCGAGCAATATTCTTGAGTCTACTTTCAGCTTCATAGGCTCGATAGAATCCAGATATGCGATATCTGCGATTCGTATAATACATTCGTGATCAAAACCTGACTCTTTAAATTTATTTTCAGCATCTGGTGGCAAAAAGTGCTCAAAATAGATTGATTTCACGCCAAAGGCTCGTACTCTACCTATGAAACCATCTCGAACATTTAGATTAGAAATAATTTGATTTTTACTAAGATAAGCAGTTAGCATCATTTGTTTGCTGTTTAAATTGGTAAGTGCTTATAGCAAAAACATTTTTTGAATATGTTTCTCACAAACAGAATTTGTATGGGTTCACGAAGAAAATTTTGTAACTGAATATATTCCAAGAGGTTTCATACTGTTTCGGAGTGTGAATAAAATTCCAGCTATGAGATTGAACCAAAATATATCCTTATCTAATTTTACACACAATAAATTATTTGACGCTACTGGTGGAATTGCATGACCTGGCCTGGTACTACATTCACCTTCCTAGAGCAAACTGATGCATCAATTTCTAGTTAGTAAGTGTCACCACAAACAGATTCTTTTCCAGGTCTACAATAAAATGAAAAACTAATTGTTGCCGAAGATATGCACTGGAGATTGATATGACATTCGACGATTTGGTATTTTTTTAACAACATTTCTCTAGGCTCAACAAAATTTTCATACACTCAGTAATTCCAATTTTCAAATCCTATAGTATTTTATGAATGAGTTTCTATCATTTGTCTATATAAAAATAATTAGACATGAAAATGGAAAAATTAAGAAACGAAAGGATCCCATTCTCAGTTATGTATACTCCTTACAACTTTTACCTTAAATAACGCCACCTTGTGACATTCTTCAGAACTATAGAAATCCGTTAGAGAATCTTTGTGTACCAATAAGTGAGAAAAAAAAAAGGAATACAGTTTCATATGATTTATTATATTCCATGATCATTCATTATATTAATTGCATTCAGTGGTAAAGAATTTTTGAATTCCTCAGGTAGTAACTAAATGGCACAGATTTTTTCCCCATTAACCTTTGTATACGTTTGCTATTCAAACTGCGATCTATTAGTACTTCAGCACCGATGTTGTCTACGCTACGTTCAAGTAGATTATCTCCTTCTGTGGGGTCCAAACTCCTACCGATGAGACTTCCTCCACCAATATCATCCAAACTCCGCCCTATCAAAGCTCCACCGCCAATACTGTCCAGACTTCTATCAATGAGATCAACCCCTTCTGTGAGGTCTCGATTTCTACCCATGAAACTTCCACTGCCAATATCATCCAAACTGCGACCTATCAGAGGTCCACTACCAATGTTATCTAGCCAAGATGATGGATTTCGACTTCCACTACTCAAACTTCTTCCAATTAGACCCGGATTTATAGGATCAATCGAACGTTCAGCTGTAGGGTTCAAACTTCTACCGATGAGACTTCCTCCACCAATATCATCCAAACTGCGCCCTATCAAAGCTCCACCGCCAATACTGTCCAGACTTCTACCAATGAGATCAACCCCTTCTGTGAGGTCTCGATTTCTACCCATGAAACTTCTACTGCCAATATCATCCGAAGTGCGACCTATCAGAGATCCACCACCAATGTTATCTAGCCAAGATGATGGATTTCTACTTCCACTACTCAAACTTCTTCCAATCAGACCCGGATCTATAGGATCAATCGAACGTTCAGCTGTAGGGTTCAAACTTCTACCGATGAGACTTCCTCCACCAATATCATCCAGACTGCGCCCTATCAAAGCTGCACCACCAATACTGTCCAGACTTCTCTTTCCACTTAAACTTCTCCCAATCAGACCATTGTCTATATTATCTATGGTACGTTTGACTGCACCGCCAATACTCTCCAGGTTTCTACCAATGAGACTATCTCCTCCTATAGGGTCCAAACTTCTACCGATGCGACTCCCTTCACTAATATTATCCAAACTACGACCAATCAAAGCTCCACCTCCAATATTGTCTAGGCTACGGCCAATAAGACTATCCCCTCCAATAGGATCCAAACTTCTACCGATGAGACTCCCACCACCAATATCATCCAAACTGCGACCTATCAGAGCTCCACCACCAATGTTATCTAGGCGAAATGATGGATTTCTTTTATTACCACGGAAACTCCTTCTAATCAGATCATCATCTAAATCGTCGACGGTACGTTTGGCTCTCTTTGAATCTGGAAAATAGATATGCTAATGAAAAATGTCTTCATATCATGTCTTCACATTTATTCACAATAATCTACTTACTCCACAAAAAGCTATATACATCGTGCATCCTGCACCAAATAATTTTTCAAATTCAAATACGACTATCGGTGTGGCAGTAGCCAGTACGGTTTAATGGATATTCCATTTCCTCAAACACACACACACATACACAAATTCTTTCACTAAGACTAGAGGGTTGAAAAATATGTACATTATTTACAATTAAAACTAGCGCAAAACAAGTTCCGATGGAAGAGTTACGATATCGGTTTCGAATATTCATGTTCATATATATATATATATATATATATAT